GTGGGGGAGGGATGGTACAGTGATAGAAAGTCGATCTCGAACTCCAGAGGTGTCGAATTTGAATCGTTAAAATATTCCCTCAAACGCTAATTTCACTGAACAAAGGATTCATTCCACGATGACCCATTCTGTGCCCTGCGTTCATTCGGAACAACCAGCGGAGAAACGGTAGCGACTCGTTGACCTGCGATGAATAGGGATAGCATGGTGATCTGGTGTGGTAAAACCTGGGCGAATGGGCGAGCGGCAAGGCCATGCTGTCTACTGCCTGTGACGACCGCAGTTTTGCTTTTCAATTCGCTTTCACTCACTTGATAGCATGGCTGATTATCAGGGGTGATAGGCAACGCAAGGTGCAAACCATGCTGTTGGATGTTGTATCTATTGGTGGCGGGCCGAAAGTTAAGACGAGGTGTCTCGCCACTTTCAAGGCTGAAGGAATTCAGTGCAAACCAGCAAGCACCAGAACTGTTTGCCAAGTCCTGTATCGGTTCAGTGTGTGTCTGCAGTGTTTCTGAAGAAAATCTTCTACACGAGGATCAAACATTGGTTGAAACTTCTTTCGTACATCAGCGGAATTTCTAGACCAAGATTACCGACCGGATTTAATTTTTCGTAGCTGACTCAATGGCCGTAAGTACTGTTAATTTTGTGAGGAAAGTTACAGCTAGTAGTTTCTCGATCTGAACTAAGTCACACAAGTAGTTGATGACCATCAGCCTGCCGCTGCGTCACCCCTCATGCGACAATCTCACACATTTTTACAGAGGACAAATGATCCATAAAAGGACATTCGGTCACGCGTCCGCATTTGAACACAGTGCTTGGATATCACTCCTGCATATGAACGTCTAATCCAAAAGATCGCGTTACTTATAATGTTCAGATACAATACGAAAGAAAAGAGTAGTATGCAAGTCTTTATGAACAGCCCAAAGAAACTGTTCGAGTTTACTGAAGAGGATACGTGAATCTGGGGGGGGGGCTGGCGGAAAGGAGAAACGCCTTGCAAATGATATTATTTTGTTTCTGATGCAAGACTCGATTTTGTGTGCCTGATCAACACAGGTATATTCATTTGAATTGGAAGTGTAACGAGAAAGAATAAATGCAGATGCTTCATAAAAAGATTCATTAGTGACAACGTGATTGTGTAGCATGGGGGAAGTCGTGTTACGGGGAACACGTGACTCGTCGACACGGGCCAGCTGGCAAAGGTAACACGAAATTCAAAGACACCGGTTTTCGCATTGTAGTAGAATACGCATGAGAGCAGTCGAGTGACGGCCGCAAGCCGGAAAAAGTAAACAGTGTTTTTCTACGACTGTTAAGCACTTCACAACAAGGTTGAGTGACAAGTCGCCAACGGACAAAAAGCGACAGATCCCGTAAGGCAAGTGTAGCAGCGTCTGCTCATGTTTCCTAATTTGTCATTGGACGGTTCGTAGGTCAGGTGATGAAAACGAGAACCTCGTACCTCAGAATAACGAGTGAAGAACAAGAGGGCCGAGGAAACGAGATCCATCCCTGTCATTCGTGCCCTGTTCAGTTTCGTGAGACAAACGACAAACAGGAAACTTTTAATACAGCAGCTGTCATTCATGAAGTGGCTACTGACCGTTTTGAACAGCTGTTTGACGAGCTTGTCGTACAAGGTGTCGATGGCGCCCTCGATTTTGGTCCTTTCGATCGGGAACACGTCGGACAGCGTTTGGATGAAGTCCTTGAAGGTCCTGCTCTCGCGATCGTCCACCCGGGCGCTGATCACCTCGTTGTCGTGCGCGGTCATCAAATGGTCCCGCACGATGTACTGCGACAGTAGGTAGCAGAAGTACTGCGTGTCCTGGCCGGTGATGGTTTTTCTGGTGGACAACGCCGGGTCCGGCCTCAGATCCGTCTCGTCGATGGCGTCGCAGAACGACGGGTCGACGAAGAACAGGAACAGTCGAAACAGCTTCTGCACGAACGGTTCGGCCAGCAGGTGGTCCACGTTGTCCATGTTCACCGACAGAATGGGCCACGCCCAGGTGCCTTCTTCCAGCTGGTCACCGGCGTTGCTGAAACGGGCAACAGGAAGGTCAGCTGGCTTCGACACGCGAACAGCCAAGCGCCCTGTTCACCCACCTGTTTGAGATGTCCAGCACCGGCGAGCCGCTGGTCACTGAAACGTCACACCGGCTCATGTCCATATTCGGCGGCGATGACGGAGATCGTCTCATAGGCATCGAACAGTCGTGGATATGGGCTCAGCTGCCGGTCGGCGTCTACGGATGTTGGCTACGAACGAATTTCGAATGGTGAGCTCGTCGAAGGCCACCCAACGATGACGACCACGGCTATGACGGACGATTGCGGCGGCAA